CCTCTGCGCTCGCCAGTGTCCGGCCGCGGGCCGGCCTTCGTGACTGGGGCGGCGGGCCCGGGCCGCGCGTGGGGGCGCGGACGCCGGCCGCGGGCCGCCTTCGTCGGCCCCCGAGCTCGTCCGGAGCGCGCCGCCGCCCGCGCCCGCCGCGGAGCCTCCCGGCCGCGCCCGCCGGCGAGCAAGGTGAGGAGCGGGAGACCGAGGCGGCGGGCGGGCGGGCGGCGGTGTCAGCGCGGACGGCGGGACGCGAGGCCGCGCACCTGTGGCCGCTCGCGCGCACCTTCGGCCGGCGGGGACGCGGAGGCCCCGCCAGGTGCGCGTCCCGGAGGCCCGGGCGCCCTCGCAGCTCGCCTTCCCCGGGGTGCCCTCCGCGCCGGCCCGGCCCGCGGACCCACGGCTCCCGGAGCGGACTCGGTCCGTTCCGTGGCCGGGAGCTTACGTAAGTCAGGCCGCCGCGGCCGTCGGAGAACACCTCTCCCGGCCCTCGGCCAGTCCCGGCCCGTTGGAGCCGCCGAAGTCCGCCCGAGAGTCCCGGGAGCGCCGGTGCCGGGCCGTGCTCCGCCTGGGAACCGCCTGGGCGGCCGGTTCGCTCCCCGTGACGCGGAGAGCCCGGCACCTGGGGCGACGGGCAGTGCCCAGAACCCCGGGGTGGCCCGCTGGCCCTCCTGCCTGGTCGGCGCGGGGCTGGGTGCTGCCGCGGGAGCCGCTGCCCAGGTGCGCGCCGCTTGGCTGCGCTGGGAACGTGGCTGCCACTCGGGACGCGCGGCAGGGATCCTGCAGGTGCACCTTGTGGGGACCCTGTTCTGCACTTCGTGACTTGCTCGGGTCTGTGGTCCCCAGATGATGTGCGAGGTGATGCCGACCATCAGTGAAGCAGAAGGTCCCCCCGGAGGAGGCGGGAGCCACGGGTCCGGCTCCCCCTCGCAGCCAGACGCGGATTCCCACTTTGAGCAACTCATGGTCTCCATGCTGGAAGAGCGGGACCGGCTCCTGGACACGCTGAGGGAGACTCAGGAAACCCTGGCGCTGACCCAGGGGAAGCTGCACGAGGTTGGCCACGAGCGAGACTCCTTGCAGAGACAGCTCAGTACCGCACTGCCCCAGGTAGGCCCCAGCGCCGGGCTCCCTTGGTGGTGTCTTCTTGGTGAAGGCAGTAGCTGAGTATTCCTGCGACCTGTGGAGTGGTGTTCCCGGTGTTCCTAAGCACACACAAGTCCCCAGGGATTAGACTGCTTAGGGAGCGCAAACTGGTGTTCTCCGAAGTCATGTGCAAATACCTCATTGCTCTCATTCCTGTCTTGGGGAGCCGCCTAGATTTGGAAAAATGCTTGGAAGTTTTTATAAAAAGGCATGAAGCAACCAAGCTCTGGGTGTCTTCCGTCTGTCAGGGCCTTTTCTCCCTGAATGTGGCTGTCTGTGGCTTCTACCTGAGGGACTGTGTGAGCATTTCCATGGGTTTTTTCCAGTTTCTAATGAAGTTGGATGGACAACTGAGTTCACAGAGATGTTTTCACAGTCCACCTTTGTCAGACATTTGTGCTTTGTTTATTGGCACTGGGGATTGAACCCAGAATCCAGGGGTGCTTTGCTACTGGACTGTGTCCCTGGCCCTTTTCACTTTTTATTTTGAGACAGGGCTCTATAATTTCCTGAGCCTGGCTTTGCAGGGGCATTCCTCTGCCCTCAGCCCCCGAGTCACTGGGATCACAGGACTTTACATTGCCTGGCTTACTTTGTTTTTGTAGAAGACCAGAGGTTGATTTCTTAGGATTTTTTTTTTTTTTCCTTTGCAGGTGAGAATTTTAAAGCTTGTGACAACTGAGGTTGTTGCTTTAAGAATGTTACATTTAGGCTGGTGTTTCAAAGCCTTCTCTTACAGAGTTAAATGAGAATTTAATGGTAGAAGAAGGGAGAGAGTGTTGAGGAGAGATATAAGGTGTGTGGCACGTGGCACCATGGGAGTTAAGTAGGCTGCTTGGGCGGTTGTGAGCTGTCTGGGTGCCATTTTACTCATTCATAATAGGTGCCTTTATGGTGTATATGGTAGACCCGAGCCGGCATAGGCTGGTGCTCCCGCTGCAAATGAATGATTACTACTAGCCTTAATGTGTTTCTTGGCTGTAGTCAAGTCTCCTGAAAGATTCATAAGCCAGTGAACTCTCTTTTTAGAAATGACAATTTGATGTGAGTGCTATATGTTCCCTTTTTGTGGGGTTAGAGAATCATTAAGATTTTTCTGACTAAAATCTTATAAATTAAAAATTTATTTAGGTCAGATTTTATTATTGCAGGCCTAAAAGTGTTGGCCAGGATTTTATCGCCCATATTTGCAAATTTCTGGTTGTTTTGTTTTTGTAAGTGTAGTTTTTGGTGGGGAGTACTGGAGCTCACACCACGTGAGTACCCTACCACTAGGCTACATCCCCAGGGCCTTTTTATTCTTAGAGGGGGCTTATACTTGGGATCCCATGCCTCAGTCTCCTCGGCAGCTTGGATCACAGGTGTGGGCACAACATGCAGCTTTGTGTTTGTTTTAATGTCATCTGAGGTGCACACACTGAAGCATTTGTCTGATACTTGTGTAATTGGTAGGGTACTTTTGGGGAAAAATAGGTGCCTAGGACATGGCAGGGAAGCGACAGGAGTTTTATAGTCTCAGGCTGTGGGCATTTCTACACCTGCTGGCGAGATGGTTGCTCACTGTAGCAACCTGGAAATGCCAAGCTGGGTAGATAATGTGATGATGCCAACAGTTGATGTCACCACCTGGTTCCAGCATTTCAGAAGCACAGGAACCATGAAGTAAATTTCCTGAAATTGGGCTCATCTTTGGGTGGCTAATAGAGTGACCACCTACCTAGGTCTATGCGTCAAGTGACTGCATGTGTCTCTCGGCATGTCAGATGAGGAAGTCAGAGTATACTGTAAAACATCAGCTGTGCTATAATCCCAGAAATGTGGGAGCTGAGGCAGGAGGTTTGCAAGTTCAAAGCCAACCTAGGCAATGTAGCAAGACCTTGTCTCAAAGTGGGAAAAAAAAAAAAACAGCTGGGGATGTAGTTCAGTGGTTAAGCTCCCCTGGGTTCAATCCCTGGCACCAAAAACCAAACAAACAAAAAACCTGTGGCATTCATCAGAAACATTCACAGATGTGAGTGTACATCTCAGTGAACTTTCCACAAAGTTAACGCTGTGGATCAGTAGGCAGATTAGGAGGTGGGATGTCACCAGGCTTCCTGCAAGTCTCTCCTGTTATTCCAGTGACCCTCCCCCAATTCTAAAAAGGATCTTGACTTTTTTTGTTTGGTACTGAGGATTGAACCCAGGGGTGCTTTACCACTGAGCCACATCCCCAACCCTTTTTATGTTTTATTTTGAGACAGGGTCTTGCTAAGTTGCTGAGGGCCTTGCTAAATTGCTGAGATTGGTCTCAAACTTGGGATCCTCCTGCCTCACCCTCCCAAGCTGCTGAGATTACAGACCTGCACCACCCCACCTGGCAGAATGATTTTGACTTTTTATTGTTGATTACTTTACCTGTTCTTGGTTTTTCTATAAGTAAGATGACATGTATATTTTCATTTATTGATTTGTTCACTCAACATTATGAAATGCACTTGGTCATTTCCTGTAGCATGCTTGTTGTCAGAGTATGAATATACCATGATTTGTTCTTTGTACTGTTGTGAATGTTTGGTTGTGCTTTTATAAATGCCACCCTGAACATGCTTGTTTTGTGTGCAGGTGTGGTAAATTTCTGTGGCGCGTGTATAGGGAATGTACTTTAGAGGTGATGGTGTGTGCTTTGCTCAGCCTTGGGATATACTACCAAAAGTGGCAGTGTGACTGTTTGCTGCCACTCGCAGTGTGAGCAGGCAGCTATCCACAGGTTGGTCACACTGGGTATTGTGTGTTCCTGTGGGTCAGCTGTCCTGCGGATGTCTGGGTGTCTGTCTAGCTCACGCTGCCTGGATCTGCTGCTTCCTGGTGAGCAGAGTGTGCAAGGGCTGGAGCTCTGCAGTGGAGTAAGTTCAGTGCGTGTGTTGTCTGGGCTATGTATTTTGTTTGAAGGAGTTCTTTACGTATCTCAACACACACACCAGACTGTTTTATACTCTTGTGTTTGCTTTTTCACTCTCAGTAGTATCTTCTGAAAAGCAGAATTTAAAATTTTAACATGCTTTAGTTGATCATTTTTTTTTTAGTGATGTTTAATGCTCTTTGTACCGTTTAAGAAGTCAGCTAGGCTAGGTTTGTGAAGATACTATCCTGTGTTGTCTTGTAAAAGCTCCACTGTTTTATCTTCTGTCTGAAGTTGATTTTGTTTGTGGTGGGAGACAGGCCAAAATTTTTTTTCACCTCTGGATATCTGGTTGACACAGCTTTGATCCATGAAGAAGACCATCTTTCCCACAGTGCATCACAGTGCCATCTCTTTCATCTCATCAGGTAACTGTGAACATATGATCTCTTTCTGAACTCTGCTGCCTTGACCTTTTTTGTCGTATTTGCACAAGTACCATCCTGTAAACTACTGTAGATTTACTTGGTCTTGAGAGTTGGTCATTTAAGTTCTCCACCTTTACTCTTCAGGATTTTCTTAGCTGATCTTGGTCCTTTGCATTTTCAGATATATTTTATTTTTTTTTAACTTTAATATTTATTTGTTTTTAGTTTTCGGCGGACACAACATCTTTGTTTGTATGTGGTGCTGAGGATCGAACCCGGGCCGCACGCATGCCAGGCGAGTGCACTACCGCTTGAGCCACATCCCCAGCCCCATTCAGATATATTTTAGAATCTTCTTGGCAGTCTCACTGCAAAAAAAAAAAAAAAAAGTGCTGGGATTTTAATTGGGACTGCATTTAATCAGCAGACCAGTGGGGGAGAAATGACATCTTTTTAAAATATTGATCCTGTAATCCAGACACATAATAGCTATGTAATTATTTATTATTTTTATAGAGAGAACTGATTCTTTGCATGTTTAGAAATTTTTCCCCCCATGTGCTGTAACCACTTTTCTTTTCTTTATTATACTGGCTGAGAAATTTAGTACGGTGTTGAAGTGGTGAACATAGTGTCCTTGACTTCTTCCCAATAACCAGGGAAAGCTTTTACCATGTCACCTGTAAGCGTGATCATTATTGTAGGGTTTTTGTAGATATTCTCTATCAAAATATAAAAATTCTTCTTTATTTTTATTTTGCTGAGAGTTTTTTTTTTTTTAATTATGAGTGGTTATTGAATTTTTTACATTTGTTTTTCTGCATCTTTTCAAACAATCGTGCTTTTTCTGTTATTTGATGATACAACTTTTTAAAAATTTTTGCAGTCCTGGAGATTGAACCCAGGGCCTTTTATTTGGCAGGCAAGTGTGTTGCCACTGAACTCCCAACCCAGTTTGACGTTTTAAATTTGCAATTCTAGAACAATTCCAACATGATCTCTAGCTTGTTTCTGTTTCTGTTTTTGTTTTTGCTTTGCAATACTGGGGATTGAACCTAGGGACACTCTACCACTAAGCTACATCCTTAGCCCTTTTTATTATTTGTTTTTTGATACTAGAGATTGTACCCAGAGGTGCCTTACCATTGAGCTACATCCTTAGCCCTTTTTATTTTTTATTTTGAGACAGGGTCTTGCTTAGTTGCCCAGACTGGCCTTGAATTTGCAGTCCTCCTGCAGCCTCTTGGGTAGCTGGGGTTACAGGCACGCGCCACTGTGCCCAGCTTGTAGTCTTCTTTTGCTGGGTTTATTTGGTGAGAACTTATATAGGATTACTGCCTCTGTACTCATGAAAGAGACTGACTGATGATTGTGCTTCCTGTATAGTCCTTGTTTTGTATCAAGCTTATGCTGGTCTCATGAAAAAAAGGTGGAACATTTCTTGGAAGACTTCCTGTGAACTTGGTGTTTTTCTCTACAGATTTTTGGAAGAACCAGCTGGTATAGCCGTATGAGAAAGAAAAATTTTAGAATCAATATTATAGGTAGAAGTCATTAGTCCTACCTATATGCAGGACATTTGTCATTTTAACTTATAGGGCTTTTCACTGTATCACTGGGTGTGATCATATATGGCAAAAAGTCAAATTAGGAAA